CGGGCGGGCCGAGGCCGAGGCCGAGGCGGCCGGGGCCTCGGACTCGGCGGCCGCCCTGCAGTTCTACTTGGTGCTGGCGCTGGCTCTCGTGTCCTTCCTGCTCCTCCTGGCCGTCGCCCTGGCCGTCCTGGACAGACTGCGGGGGTCAAGGCCTCCCCGCCTGCTCCCGTGCTTGGGCCCGGCCCCTGCTTCCGAGCGCGGCCCCTGGTTCCCGCCGACCTACGAAGACGGCACTTTGCCCTACTCCTACCAGCTGTGTTTGTCCTCTGAGTCGAAGGGGGGTGAATGTTCTGGTCTGCAGCCGCGTGCCCCTGTAGCAGAGGACATTCTGTGCAGGGACAGATCTGGGACGTTACTTATGAGCAATGGATGTAGTGACTTGAAATCTGAATTAGAGATCGCCGATGCGGTGAGTTCTATTTTCATTGCTTATATCGGATTATCCTTTTTGAAAGAATATACACGCCTGGCTTCCTTATTATGCGGTACTGGAGCCATTAGGATACTGTCTTTTTGTAGGTGTTATTCTGGCTATCTATGCAGGCACCACCTAATGAAATCGCTCCAATTTATTCTGATCACGTTATCGGGTCAAAATCGAGTGGGTAGACTTTCAAGTCACATGAGAAGTGGTAAAGTGCCGAACTCAAGGCACAGATTCGTATAACAAAAATCTAGGTATTTTCAGGTTCCTCCGTTCCCTTGCAACTAAACTTTCCTTCATCTGAAAGAATATCTTTTCTGGAATTTTAAAAATAGATTTATTCATAACAGCACTTGTTCTAGATTCTAGAATAGTTTGCTATCCCAGTGAGTTGCACTCCTAAAAAAATGTCATGCATTCTTAATATTTCTTAAAATGCAATTTTAAGGTTGCATGCCAAGGTTGCATATGCAGTAGAATGCTCCTTGGCAGTTATTCCTGGTGTATAATTCCATGGTCATATAGGCTGTGATGGAGAGATTTAGAAAGATGCTGCTGCTGTTTTTCAATGTCACAGCTTTGAATGTTAAGGAGCTGTTAAATTAGTAATGTAACCTTTATAAAATATAGTGATTCTATTCGGAAAGTGAAGGTTTAGCAGCATTATTTGCCAATGGCGAAATTATGATTGATTTATTCAGGTCATCCAATGCAGATCATAAAACATTTATAACGTCTGGTGTCAACCGGTTTTGAAACCTCGAACTCAATTCTTAAACTGTTTAATACCCGGCGATCAGCTTATTGGTTCGAGAATGGTGCCAATAAAACCCAGATTGTACGTTCGATCCCCAATATCCGACGGAAGGCCTTTTCTGCCTCAAGCAGGGCGTTAGAGGAGATGACTTCATGGGATCCTTTCCAGCCCTACTTTTCTATGATGTCCACATCTTATGATCTTCCCGGGTATTCTTATATCAGTGTCAGTTCCCACGGAAAACTTCGTAAAAAAATTACATACTTGCTTTAGACAGGGTTGGGCCTTCCTTGGGCAAGTCTTGGATTATATATGACCTCCTAAGGTCCCTCTCAGCCCTACTTTTATATGATTCCATGATTCCATACCGATTATACAGAGATTCTATTTCTGCAAATCGTAAGCTGGTGGTCTTTTAAATGGTCACTGCTGCATGATTCATAATAATGCTTGACCAAAGTAATCAAAACCAAACTTCCCACCCCTAGAGGGAGGGAGGAGTTGGGATGAAATAGTCCTCTGGCCTGTTCTGGCTTTGTTCGGTTGCGGGTTTCTTTCTTGTTAATGACCGCTCTCTAAATCCGCCCAGTGTTTGGAATGGAGAGGGTCCTGAGGAGATTGTTCAGTGGGCTGAGGGCAAGGGGAAGTTTTCCAAGGGCACTAATGAAGTAAAAACATGTGACTGAACTTTATATGTAGATGACTTAATCTGATGACGCTGAAATAGTTTAGCTGTCGCGACCACAGCATAGCTATGGATACAAATAAAAGCCGACAGTAAGGTTTCCATATTTTGATAGTTGTGCGGTTTGGCCATATCATATGACATTTTATTTCCGTCCCCAAGGAGGCAAAAGCTTCTCAGAACAGGAGGCATAAGAAAACGATTGGAACACACACCAGAAAATGACTCACGCTGTAAGAAAAAAAAGTAAGTAAAAAAAAAAATCAGAAAGAAGAATACTGAAAGAGGAAAATGGATCTCACATACTCCGCCGGACACGAAGGGGACAGGCACGGTGCAAAGTAAGGTGAAGGAATTTCCCACGAGAAAGAAGCACATGTAGAATTTAAATCACATTAACAAGCTGCTGCAATTATTGGTTGAGACTCTGAGCGCCGCTGTTCACCAATCAGGGAGAGAAAAGCGCCGAGAGATCCAGCCAGCCCAGCGCCGCCCCGCACAGCTCGGAGCACAGAGAGCTCAGACTTTCACTTGCTCAGGACTGACTCTCGGTGCAGGCTATTCGCTGAAACCGGCGGGTGGGTTAACAGCTGATTATTGTCGGAAACGATCGGCCCGAGATCATCTCCAAGCAGCAGCGCTCCGCGGCGGAGAGGCAGTGGATCCTCCGGATCGCCATGGCCAGTTCCGGAGCACAAGGGCTGCGGCGCTGCGCAGGGCGAGCCGTGCTGTGCTGCGTGGTGCTGGCAGTGTGCGGGGCCGCTGCGGCCGGGCAGATTCGCTACTCGATCCCCGAGGAAATGCAGAAAGGCTCTTTCGTGGGCAACATCGCGCAGGACCTGGGGCTGGAGGCCAAGGCGCTGTCGGAGCGCGGTGTGCGCGTGATTTCCAGAGGTAGGACGCAGTATTTCGCTTTGAATGTAAAGAGCGGCCATTTAATCACGGCGGAGCGGCTAGACAGGGAGCAGCTGTGCGGCCGGGCCGAGAAGTGTCTGCTGAACTGCGAGGTTATAGTGCAGTATTTCGCTTGGAATGTAAAGAGCGGCCATTTAATCACGGCAGAGCGGCTAGACAGGGAGCAGCTGTGCGGCCGGGCCGAGAAGTGTCTGCTGAACTGCGAGGTTATAGTGGAGCATGACGTGAAGATGTATGGAGTGGAAGTTGAAATCGTAGATATTAACGACAACGCTCCCAGCTTCCAAACAGGGGAAATGGAATTAAAAGTCAGCGAGCTAACAGTCGTAGGAACCAAGTTTCCACTTCATGAGGCTCACGATCCAGATTTGGGGTTAAATTCTCTCCAGAAATACCAGTTACAGAATGACAAACATTTCTTTCTTGATCTAAAAACACGACTTGATGTTTTTAAACGTCCCGAATTAGTGCTGCAGAAGCCCCTGGACCGGGAAGAGCAGGCTGCTCACGACCTCATCCTCACCGCCACTGACGGCGGAGATCCGGTCCGCTCCGGCACGGCGCGGATCCACGTGGTGGTGCTCGACGCCAATGACAACGCGCCCGTGTTCAGCCAGCCGCTCTACCGCGTGAGCGTGCGGGAGAACGTGCCCGTCGGGACCACGGTGGCTACAGTGAAAGCCACGGATCTGGACGAAGGTGTTAACGGAGAGGTGATATACACTTTCCAGAAGATCACAGAGCTGGTATCCCGAATATTTCATCCGGATTCCGGGACTGGAGACATAACAACTGCAGAGAAACTGGACTTCGAGGAGGCCTCGTTCTACGAAATGGAGGTGCAAGCTCACGACGGCGGAGGCCTCTTCGACACATCGAAGGTCGTGATCTCTGTCCGCGACGTGAACGACAACGTCCCCGAGATCAGGATCACCTCCCTGCTCAGCTCTGTCCCCGAGGACTCCCCGCCGGGAACCGTGATCGCCCTCTTGATCGTGCAGGACCAGGACGCCGGAGAGAACGGCGCCGTCACATGCACCATCCCGGACCACGTCCCTTTCCGGCTGCAGAAATCCTTGGATACATATTACACTTTAGTGACGGCCAGAGACCTGGACCGGGAGCAGGTGGCGGATTACAACGTGACGGTCACGGCCCGGGACCGCGGGGCGCCGCCGCTGTGGTCCGCCACGACGATCGCGGTGCAGGTGTCGGACGTGAACGACAACGCGCCGGCCTTCAGCCAGGCGGCCTACAGCGTGTGGGTGAGCGAGAACAACGCCCGCGGCGCCTCGGTGTTCTGCGCGCGGGCGGCCGACGCGGACTGGGGCGACAACGCCCGGGTGACGTACTGGCTGGCGGAGGGCGAGCTGCAGGGCGCGCCGCTGTCGTCGTGGCTGTCGGTGCAGGCGGAGAGCGGCGCGGTGCATGCGCTGCGCGCCCTGGACTACGAGCAGGTGCGCGAGATCCGCTTCGCCGTGGAGGCGCGGGACGGCCGCGCGGTCC